GAGAGAGAGAGAGATCATTGGAAGTCACTCATACAATATAACATTATGAATCCATTTTACAATTTACTCTGTCTAAGAATTATTGCAATATATTTAAGCAAAATAAATTTTTCATTGTTATTACTCTCAAAATATTTTTCGTGAAATATATCATTTGGTTTTAGCAACATAATTTACAGTTGATATTCATAATCAATTCTTATATTTAGAACTATCTTAAATACAATCTTAAGATATTATAAACCAATCACAGAATCATATTAGTATCTTAAGACACTATTTAAGATGGTCTTAAATTAAGAATGAATAAATACTAGCTTATATGGAAAGAAGGCATAAATCAATCTTTGCAAATATATTGCAAACGTAATTCATAAAATATCGGCAATTTAATAGCATTATTATTTAGCATCTATCATTTAAATTATCCATTAATTAATTTTATATTAATTTCTTAATAAAGAAATTTCAATCTGTCGCTCCAAATTTCTTATTATTCCTGTTACATATATACAAGAAGATTAATTCTTAATTTATACTTTCTGCCTAAGATATGACTAAATTTAATATTTCCTAACAATTATATTTTTTATAATAAGTGAAGTTAAATAAAAATTCAATATATACATGTATATACGATGTACATATTTCAAAATAAGATAAAAAAGATGACTGCGGATTTCAAGAAACAATGGACAACTTTTTACATTTAAACTTTTTTAAAACTAAACTTTTTAAAACATATAGCGTAATCACTCTTATTTTTTCTTCTTTATTCTTTTCTATATGTAAACATTATTAGCAAATGGCAAGCTGTGTACGCTTAGTTTTCAAGATGGCAGAATTAATGACAACATATCGTTATATTTACATCAGTATTACTTATAGTGTGATTTATAAAAAAATAATTTATATTATTAAATTAAGATTTAGATTAAGATTTAAATTAAAGTAGAAACACTTTTATACTATGTTAAATACGAAAATAGAAAGTATGCTTTTTTAAAGCACAACTTTTTGAGTAATTTGAAATTTTTATGCTGTTATCAATATTGGTTTTACTAACTAATCAGAAAATGCGCTTGCAAATAATATGTATCTCTCTCTTTACTGGATCTACAGGACTTTCTTCTTCAAGTGATGGCGAGGTCAACAGAGTTACCGCTTGGAATGGAACGGTAAAAGCCAGCTACTCTGGCACCTTCAGCGCAAAGGGGTTAATAGATTGGTGGCTTTCTACGTCTTTACGTAGGAAGGAAAGTCTATTACACAGGTCGGCTTGCAATGTGTTAATTACGCTTCTCACGAAATACCCTGGTCACTCTGGCCTGATCAGCTAGGTATTTCGAACTCTAAGCCTGTACATAAAAACGGGTTTTCGCTTCGTTTCACGTAAATTTCATATGCAACAGATATTCCTTCTTTTACAAGGAGTAGTGATCTTATGCAGCATTACTCGATATTTCTTCGTTGTGATGCGGTGTTCCATATCCGAAGAATGATTTCTACATTATGATGCTTTTCTTCGCATAATAGTTTTTAGATGCACAATGATGGCCTACGTGGATAAACCACCGGCCAATATCGCAGTTATGGCAGTTATCCCGAAATTTGTAAACAAGTGACGATGAAACGTCGATGAAGCCGTCGCCGATTGAAAATCGATCTGCTCGTCACCAATATCATCGCCCTTTAGCATTGGCTCGTCCTTCATACCAACAGCCTTCTTCTCATGACTGTGATCGATCTTCCATGTCTTTTTCGATTCCCGCCGCATGCCCGGTTTACGCGTTGTTGGTGGCTTATCGATCTCTGAAAATATAGGAATATAATAAATTTGCTAATCGAAATTTAATAAAACCAATAACGCATTAAATGCACTTTCGACAAAATGAAATATCTTATACCGTAGTACTACCGTGGTACTAGTACATTTTTATCTGATTTAAAATATTTAGAAAAATAATGTGTATTTTATTTTCCTTCATACAAATTCTTTAGAAATGATCTTTTTTTTATTTTCTTTGAACAATTTAATTTTTTCTTTTCTAATTTTAATATTTTTAATTAAGCATTGTATTAAAATTACCTAAAGTTCAGGTCATAGTATTATTACGTAATTTAATTCACTTTTTTTTTCAAGAATTCCTTTAGTTATATAATCGAAAACATATTATTGTCTGAAAAGCAAACTTAAATAACGATTTACTTCAATTCAAGCGAGTGAGATTAAATAGGTGAATTTAAATATGTGCAATCCATTACGAGATAGAGAGAGAACATGTTTTTAGAATTAATTATACAAGCTAAAAGCTCGTATTTCTGTGTCAGCTATCGTTAGCTTATCGTTGTTTATTAGCATTGGCTTTACCAATCGGTTATAAAACTGTAAAATTATTTCCAACGGATATCCGTTGAAGTAAACAGGCCTTTCATATTAAATAGAGATGGAAAAATTGATAGGACGGCAGTATAAATTATCATGACTTTTACACTCAAAGTGTAAGTCGATAAAAATCCGTGATAACGAATAAAAAGTACGTTAGTTAATTGCTAGTTGATAAACGCGGACGCCTAAAATCAAGCTGATCATCAGAATGGAGATTGAACGTTCGTCCGTTGTATGCAACGCAGTAGAAAGCCGCTTTACATCGAGTCGCGTTTGAAACGAACGGGCGTAAATGGCAAATCGAGATATCGGTAAAGCCTGTCCGCGAGTAATAACCGGAAAAATAATCGGCCAGGCGGTCGGACTTTCCGCGCGATGCTCCCCGGTTTGACGTATTGGAATGTCGTCTGAACGGTGTTCCCGCAAACCTGGAGAGCTCTTGTCACTTGCACACTCCGTCGAAATGTCGAGAGTTCGGAAGCGATATTAATTCTCTCGCGCGTGCATCGACATTGCCGCACGAGACGAAAGTAGACTTTTTCTAATTAATCCACAGGATGACAGTGCGCAGGCCGCATAACATTCTGAGGTGACAACTGCTAACAATTGAAGCTACGAGACAAAGATAAATGTCGATGGATTACGACACGAACAACATGTTGCAAACGTAAGCATAACGGCGAATGTAGTCTTCCTTCAATTTTGATATATCAAAGATTTGCGCTAGCTGATCGAGTCGATTCAAGAATTAAAAATAGAAGAGAGGTATTTGTTAACTTATTTCTGCTGATCGCAAAATGTGATACTTAAATATCTACATTTAAATTTAATCTGAATGATTTCTGCGAGAGGAAAAGGAATACGGAATACTTATATAACGAGTTATCACACGTGTCTAGATTCCCTTATATGTTTTATCTTCTAAAGTTTCTTCGCGTATTTCAGTCTGAAAGTTACCTTCGCGAATAGTGAGCATTGTTGAAATAGTAATCAACTTTCGTTCGATGTGCAAGAGCTTATGCAACGTTGATTTCAATTCACGAGCGACAATTGTGTTTGCACTCCAGCAAGGTCAATGCATTTATGTTTACTCGTAGTGCTGTTTGCAAATCTCGGAAAGCATACGCGACATAGCATATTCGGAAGTACAGATGCGGAATGTGTGCTCTCAACGATCCTGACAGTTTGGTATAACTGTGTAATTTAATAAATACATTAATTAATACGCTCGGACACTACGCTCCGGTCGAATATCGAAATTGTGGTTGGACCTGTGTTACCACACTGTTACGGAAAAACCGTTGAAACAGCCGTTCGTCTCGAATGCCTTAAATTACGAATTTACATTTATTAGCGTGCCTTTATATCATCTTCTTTGATGCTAACTCTGTCTGCGGTAATGAATATTGTGACTGCGGTTTAAAATGCTTGGAGCTCTTCCACCTCACTGCAATTAGCCAGTAATGTGTTCCACTGTAAGACTCGTAATTCTGCTCACTTCACTTCACTACCGGTGATGCCTGCCATTTCACGATAACACGTTTTATAATGCCTGAAGATGAGCAAGAATCGTAAGGGTAAAATAATTCAACTTGTCTTCTTTCCATTTATCTTTTCATCCGTCTTTTGCGAAGAATTATGAATAACGCGGAGAAATACGAATGTACCTTGAATGTTTCATTTGCATCATTAGTTCATCATTAGAGATAAAAATATTAAAAAGTGGGGAAAAGAACGCAATTTTTTACTGGTAAAACGTACAATCATACAAAAATTGAAAAAAATTTAATAATAATTCTATATATACATATATAAATGGCATGAATATTAATATTGAAATAATATTTATATGTCACACAGATAACGTGACGCATACAATTTTATACAACCAAATATAATATACCAAGTGAGTAATGGCAAACTAATAATTATGTCACTAATTGCTAATAATTTCTAAAAGTTATTTTACCGTATATTAATATCGGTCATTGCAAAATCAGATTTGCCGGGCCAATTTGCTTAATTCTTCTTCAAAGAACATCCGCTTCTACCGGCAAGCGAAGCAAAAGTGAACTAACGACCATGGCTAGCATGGCGCATTTATCGGTCACATCTATACGCGCGCGCGCGCGCACGCTTCCTCATCCGGCGATATAATGCAATTTGAATATAGGCCATCATGCACAGACTTGCATGCCATGCGTGCACGTCATTGTACAGACTCGGAACAACCGACGCGATGGCGCGACTCGAGCACAAAGTTCCCTCGCAATCTTAGCTGCGCTCTTAAAGCATCCCCCTCGTGACTCGCCCCCTTTTCGCACAAACCGCGCCGGGTCCGTCGCCGATAATTCGTCCTTTCTCACTTCTCTGCCCTCCTTCTCGTAGCTGAGCTCAGCTAAGATTCCCATCAAAGTTAACCGACTTCAACGGAGCAGGAACGATTATAATCCGCAGCTCTGTGTACTTTTAATTATTGCTAATATCGTTAAATGTGTGCGCCACATCGCATCGCGCCGACGGCGGAAAAATCCAGATCCAATAGCGACAGGACAGCATGCAAGTCGGTCGACATTTCAATGGGACGCGAACCCGCTGGATTAAACTACTGGGGCTAATTATTGGAGAAGTGATTCGCGAGAATGGAAATTCGTGATGGTCGGTACAGGAGTGCGGGCGTGTCCCCGGGCTTTCCTGTCGTCGCTTCGACCGCAGCGTTTTATTTGCAATTGTCGGTAATTAAGTGCCTCGCGCCCCCTCCTGCCACTCCCGTTTCCCTCTTCGCGTCATCCAATCATCATGATCGGCGATTTTCGTTAAAACCATCGTTTTCTTCCTCTCTCTCTTTGAGAGAGAATCCCTTAACATTCTTTCTCGCGTCGCCCATCCCCTTGCCTCACCTTCGTCGACGCTCTAATTGGAGAGACGATCAATTAACATCAGCGAGATCGAACGGAGCGGACGGGTCGTACTTTACGCATTTCGTGTGCTTGCCACTTGAATCTCGCGTGTGAGATCCAATGAAATATAATGACGGCGAGCAGAATGGACGCGTGACATAGTGACGCGAAGATGAGATGACATGACGTGACGCGATGCAATACGGCGCGATGCAACGCGACGCGACACGACGCTACGTGACTCGTTGTGGCTCGATTCGCAGTGACGGTTCCTCCTAGACCTTCCTTACGGAAGGGAATTTTCTTCGTTATATTTTTACATTCCTTTTTTGTTGTAACGCGAAAAAAATGTAAAGCTACTAACATCGTTAACTAACGAGCGGTAACATCTTTCACATCCTGCGAGATCGCTGCTGCCCCCATCAACGCGACAAGGGTTTAAGCGGTGGGATAAGAGTAAGCGGTGGGACAAGGGTAAACAGGAACTGGAACGAAGGTTGTCTGGCTTTCAAAGTTTCGTATGCACGGAACGATGATGGAGATCTGGTGATGGCGCTGTGAAACGGTGCGGGGAACGAGGCGCATTGGTACACTGAGATTGGAGCAATTACGTCGAGGAGGCAATATCGATCGGCGATAAACCGATAAGTTATCCGCTTAAGAATCGCGCCCGCCGCTGGTTTAATTCTGGGACGAAATGTTACGTTGCCCTCGAAATAACTATGTACCTAGATACACACACACACACACACACACACACACACACACACACACACACACACACACACACACACACACACACACACACTACTACTACTTACTACTACTAC